TGGTTTCTACACACACGCACGCACGCACACAATCTGCCTCAGAAATAACTAAATAAAAGCAAGTTTTTCAGTGCAAGCTACCAGCACTGGTAAGTGCCAATAATAAACAAGTTCCCCTGGGCGGCCAGTTAGCTCAGGCAGTTAGAGTGCGGGCTCATAGCACCAAGGTTGCCGGTTCGATTCCCACATGGGTCAATGAGCTGCGCCCTCCACAACTAGGCTGAAAACAACAACTTGACTTGGAGCTGATGGGTCCTGGAAAAACACACTGTTCCCCAATAAAGTTTAAAAAAAAAAAACAAGTTCCCAAGATGTTTTTTAGTTCCTTTCGTTGTCTTTTTTTTTTTAATTGACTGATTGCTTGATTTGGTGCTAGAAGGTTTGAAGAACAGAAAGGAGATAGTAACTATAAGGGGAAGGACTTGGGAAAAGGTAAGTGGTTAAACAAGCGGCTGGTGAAAAGGTACACAATGCCATCTTTTCGTTTCTTCTCCCTTTTAATCTAACCCACATTTGTCTCCACCTCGTGGAATCAACTGCTGCGGAGGGCCTTCCAAGCACTGAGAGCAGAGACTGACTCCATGCCAAGAACTTTGTTCATGCTCTCATTTAAGCCATATAACTACTTGATGAGGTAGATGTTAGTATTCCGGTTTTAGAGATAAGGAAATTGAGGCTCAAGTTATTCACTAACTCACCTGTCACAAGACAAAGAAACTGATCAGGGTTTCAAACCCAGGTCTGTCACTCCAAGACCTGGGTTTTTTCCACTGCTTCCCACTGCCTCCCTGCCCGCGCCGTTCTCTCCCTCTGTCTCCACAGCAAACTCACAGATGTGTCATTGACGGGAGAAGGTAAGAAAACACTGCTCTGGGCAGAGTCTCCAGGGGCTCAGCACAGTTAGCTCCTATCTCTCCTGCTATTATGGTGTCAACAGTGCTGGTTCCACCACCACCTCCCCCTAACCCCTGCCTTTGTCACTTGTCCTGCGGCATAACTGCTCCCATCTCTACCCTATCCCAGACACCCCAGGACCTCAGCTTCCAAAATCTCAGCCAGAACATTATTTTACAAGGGCACTCGCCAACCTTGAAAGGCAAGGTACCCAGAGGCAAAGAAATAAAATTATTGTGGTTGAACAGCATGAGGGTGCAGCGCCATCTAGTGGTGCTGGGGCCAATGGTCCCGGGCGGTGACATTTTCAAACAATCAATATCTCATCATTAACCATAATCACAACGTGATGTTTACCTTTGGAGAAATGTTCAGTAGCCAGGGATGCACACGCACTTTTCTGCATGTTTCAGAGGCCTGCGATCCTAAATGCCACAATGACTATTAAACAGTGTCTTGCCCATGAGCAAACAGGAGGGAGCAGGGATTGATTGTATATCTTTTTCATCTAAGCTGCTCACCAAAAACAAAGCATCTGTTGAAGCCACTGACCTTTCACTAACTGCTGGAAGGAAAATGCTTGATAAATAATAAAGAGACCACTCCTGGATGTTGCTTAGAACCATCTTTTAATTAAAAGAACTGAGCCACTAGAAGGTCAGGTGACTGACATTTAAGTTCCAGTCCAAGAAAAGCATCCATCGGGGGCAAAACTAGACTCAGGATGTAATTTCATTGTCAGCTAGCATTCAACAAAAATCCCCTCTCTGTAATCGGCACAGATGGAGCCAGGCCGGTGGCAGCAACATTTTGTAGAGGACGTAACACTTAATGTCCTGCCTCCTTTGCCTTCCCCTAGCAACCTTTTCATTTTCGTGCTGCAGCAATAGCCACTTGTCTGGCTCAGCATCTCCACGGAAACTGCTCCAGGACTGGAATCATCCAATCAGAGACCTGCCTGCCACACCGAGCGCTACCCTAGGAGTGACATGAAAGCCATTTCCTGTCTTTTCCACAGGAGAGCAGGTGCCCTTCGTCCACCAGCCAAGGTGACATCAACCAAGTTGCTCACTGAACCTACTCAGGCATCCATCTCACCGCGTACCGTCAAAGGCCCCAAACCCATGACTAACCCAGCCAGCCAGTCCTTCACCTTTTGGCAGTTCTGGAGTAGAGCTCAGGAACACAGAGACCAGAAACAAAAGAATAGCATCACCCTCCCCACACATATCCCGCTCACCTTCCCTTGTTCCTAGCTCACAGTCCTGTCGCTGATGCCAGCTTGCTTGCACTGCCAGAGCCATATCATGTCATACACCCTAGCTCCTGGGTAGTCAGGAAAACCGCCAGCTCAGTTCTGAGTCAGGCTTGGTCATAGCTGAGAGCCAAGAAAGATGAACGAGGCCCCACAACTCTGGTATGCCTCGTCTGGATTCCCAAGAGAAGAGGCAGGTGCCGTGCTAGCCTCAGAGAAAATCTTATCATCCCACTGGAATGACTTTGTTTAAAAAAAGAATCCACTGAACATTTTTAAGTGGGGAGCCATGATTTATTTAGAGAAAGGAATCATTTTAACAAAATTAAGAATCGCTTGGAGGCACAGATTTTTCTGTGATACCACTTTCACTATCCAAGAACACAACACTACATATTATACAAAATTAGAAGAAGAATTGAGCTTGCCTTTTAAGGGCACATGATTAAGGATCAGGTCTACTCAAAAGAAGCAAAGGAAGAACGCTATGAAATCTGGTGAATCTAGGACCACTTAAATGGGCCTTGCTCTTCACGTGTTGGAAGATGTGGGACCCATTTCCTTTTCTGACTTCCTTGTTCCTCCTGTCCTTTAACTGACAGCATTCACCTGGCTCAGCCCCCAACATCTGGGTCTCTCCACACTCCCCCGGGAGAGTTCAGTCATTCTCCTGGCTCCAACTTTCCTGCTCCAAACTTCTTACAGCCAGCTGAGCTCCTCTGTGTACTTACTGGGCCACCATGGTCAGATCTCATCCTATCCAAACCTGTTTTTCACTACTACTTAAGAGTAATAAAAGCACCTGTCACATACACTCCAAGTGAGCTTTGCATTCATTACCTCGTTTCGCACAATCCTAACTGGAAGCCCCAGAGGCAAAGATTATCCCTATGTTGTAGTCTAGGACACTGTGACAGGCATGAGGCGACACCAGTAAACACTGGAATAACCTGACCTAGGATCCAGATCTTCAGGCTTGTCTTTTGCAAAATTCACTGTAACCTGGACACGTGCCTTCCTCGGCTTCAGCTCAGCAAACCCACACCGCGGGTCTACTCCTGAAAGGCTGCTTAATGCTTCAGCGGATACAAATAAGAATTTCTGCCCTTGTTTACACTCTGCAGTGGGAGGGAACAGTTACCTCTCCGGAATGGAAGACCAGGGTAAATCAGGCAGGAGCACAAATAGTGGACTGGGTGTGCCAACTGCAGTGAAGTGCGCAAGTGCAGTTTGGAAGCGGCTCGAGATGGGAACTGAGGCTTGAACATTAGGTAAAACATCCCAGCAAAGTCTCTATGGAGGATAATATCAGAATTGAAGACGAGCTATTCCTTGACCCAGCAATACCCCTGCTAGGAATACACCCCACAGCTACACTAGCCTATGTGCAGCACAAGGAAATCAGAAAAAAGCACTGTCAGCTGGGCACTGGTTAAATCACTAAGTGTCCACACAAAGGATCTCTGAGACATATTAAGTGGGAAAACAAGGTACAGAACAGTATCCATAATGCCCCCGTACACATGCCCAAAATATTTCTGGAAAGCAAATGGTGACAGTGGTGGCCTCACGGGAGGGAAATGGGTGGCTGGGGGCCAGGGGTGGAAGGGAGACTGGCTTTCCACCTTCGTATTTTGAACCACATGCATGTATATTTTTTAAGACTTAAGCAACAAAGAGCTTTTTAAAACTCTCTTCATCACCATGACAAAGAAACTACCTTTTAAAGTCAGAAACATACAGGGCTGGCCGAGTGGTGCGTTGGTTAAGAGTTGGCTTGGGACGCCAGCTCTGGACAGCAGGGCCCTGGTTCGGATCCCACATGAGGGACAGTGACACTGCGCCCTCTACAGCTAAGATGGTGAACAACAGCTCAACCTGGAGCTGGGCTGCTGGGTGTCGCCGGCGACGGCGTAGGCGGCAGTGGGGCTGGCTGGCAACGGGGGATGAGCCTTCGTGAGCTGCCGTGAGTGGCCGTCCAATGGCCGGCGAGCAACTGCCTCGAGGAAGAGCGCAATGACAATACCAACATGGGCCAGTGAAGCAACGTCCTCCACAACTAGACTGAAGAACAAAAGGACAGCAACTTGTCTGTTCCCCTTCCCCGATTCCCCAACGCTGTTCCCCTCCCCCAATCCCAATAGTCTTTTAAAAGATAAAAATAAAGTCAGAAACATGAAGTTTAGAGAGGTAATGAGTGACCCCAATTGTGCCTCTGAACACAGAACTGTCTCCTCTACCTGCTTAAATTTAAATCCTCCCCCAAATGCTGGCCCAGTATTTGGAACCGAATGGCTGCCTAATATTGTTGAATGGGTGAAATTTACTTTCCCGTGCAAAAGTAAAGCAGTCCCCAAACAAGAGAAATTGTAAAACGTGAGAAAGGGGGCGGGGGAGGAGAAGCATAGCTGAGAACTGCTTTGGCCTCAGGTACTCCTTCACCCACCATTATGTAAGCACCCACGCGTAGGTGCACGGAGGTGTCCAGGCTGTGAGATGTGTGCCCTGCCCTCAGTCTACCAAGAAACAGGAGAGACTGCACACGAAGAACGCAGGGTAGGAGGGCTACACGAGTTTTAAAGTAAGGGATTTATGAAGCCACTTATGACTAGCAGCTGAAAACCACTGGCTTGATCACCAGTGGTTTGTAAGGCTACAATCTCAGAGGGATAGTTTATTTACTTAATAGAAACTACGGAAATGAAGAAAGCAGGACAGTTGATAAGGACTTGGTAAGTACACCTGGACACCAGGAAGGCAGGTGAGTGCGGGTGGAGAGGAGCATCATCTAAATTAGCTGGCCCCCTCTTGGCAATCCAGTTACCTACAGAGATGTCATCCGGATTCAGTCTTTAGCTGGATGTAATCGTTTATTCAACAAATCTTTACAAAGCATCCTACTTTGTGCAGGTCTATGCTAACTGTCTCCAGCACATTCAGTCCATATAGTTTTGGCCTTTGGCTATGGGTCCTCACTCGTACCACAAAGCACGAGTCATCTTGGCCTCTCAAGTTGAAGATCATTAGTTCTATAGCAAAAAGTACAAAGATTATTTGCAGAGAGAAACAGCGGACCAAGGGTCACAGTATATGTGCAAGTGACAGTCTGGTGGATCCAGAGAAGAGAAACATACCAGGGAATCAAGTGTAGCCAACGCACATGTTAACACCAAAATCCAAGCAAACCTACTCAGCATGAGCCCCATTCAAACAATCCTTATAAAGGTTTCCTCATGCTATTTACAATTTTAAAGTAAATTTACTGTAAAAGCAGCTAGGGAATTCTTTATTTAATACCATCCTAACATCAAAGTTCACATAACTGCTTCTTTCAAACCATGATACTGAGCTTTATGATAACCTAGGAATAAGAACTAAAAGAAGGCAAACATAACACCTTAGAGAACCAGAAACATTTACACAGCTCAGCTGTTAAAAACAGTTCAATATTCATCTACTGAATACAGTTTGGATGTCAGTATACATGGTATACAAGTTCTTCAGGGAGGCGAGAGACCTTTCGACTGTTCTTCAGGCGCCTCCAAATGCTGGTCCTGTGGAACTCCTTGCAGAGGCTCGCTTTTTTCCAACACAGTTTGGGGTTTGACACCCATGGTTTCAGATTTCCAGGAAACGTGACTACCTTCCTGTTGCTTAGAAAACCAGACAAAAATATATCACACAGATGCTATCATTTTCACTCAAGTAATTGGCTGAAGCTATATAACTTAGGCACATTCTATCACTGAGTCAAAAATTTAACGTTAGTATTTCAGGTCAAATTCTGTTATAACGAACAATAAACATGATAAGAATCTCAACAGAAGCACAATTTCAAAAGCCCTAATGACAGTCTCTTGTTCCAAGTCTCAAGTCATTACCACGAAATTCCAGTATATTCTATCTAAGAGTATTTGACCTGGAGTTTAGGAACATAAGCCAAGGTTGGGAAAAGAAAACCAAGCCTTCCTTTAACCTCTGAAAAACAGAAAGCTAACCCTAATAATTTTAATAACAAAATACTCACAGCCCTTGCTTCTCCTACTCGTCTTAAAATGACGCCTTCGGCCAATAGAGCCTTCCCTGTTTCCAGAAATAACTTTTCTTCATCTGTTTCTCCAAGTTTCTGTAGCTCAATGTACTTCTCCACAAACCTGGAATTCCAAGGAGTCACATCTTAGGTCTATATACTGAGAGTTGTCAAGACATGCTATTTACACAGTACCAAGCATTCCTTTAACAGATCTTTCCACAGGAACAGTTTTGTTTTGTTTTTTCTTTTTTTTCCCCCTCAAGTGGAATTCACCAAAACTCCTCAAACTGGTAACTAAATCCTTTAAAAAAACAAGTAAACAAAAAGTCACCCAGGACTTATAACATAGCTTACCGTTGACAGGTAGACTTAAAGTTTGGATTGAACAGATCAAAAGCTTTTTGACCAGATCCATAGGCTGAATAAAATTTCCTGGGAAATACAAACAACACAATATAAATCTTCAATTATACATCATGGCCAAGAACAGAATGAAGAATAACTGCTAGGCCCTTAGGAGTCACGTATAGCATGACCTACATAGCCTGAGCCTAACAGTTTTCAATTTTTGTTTTTAAATAAGTAATGCACGCACATGATAAATGCATCGAATGTTACACAAAGGTACCCAGTGAAAAGTAACATTGCTCCTCACCTCTGTACCCCTCTCCCTATTCCCATCCTAGGAAGTAATGCAAACCAGTTTCTTGTGTATCCCCAGAAATATTCTAATATACAAGCATATATGCATCTATCCTTCCCTGTCTCCAGCCACAGTGTTTAACCCCAAGGATAGTGAACACTATTCTACATCTTGCCTTTTTTACTTAATATTTTAGAGATCATTTCAAATCAGCGCATGTCGTTTGTTTGCAGTCCCTTGCTACTCTTGACAGTGCTGCAATGATTACCTTTATCTATATTTTCTATTGGGCTGTGCAAATAAAGCCGTGGAATAAATTCGTAAAAGAGGTATTATTGGAACAACGTATATATATTTGTAATTTGGCCTTCCAAATTTCCAAAATGCTTCCTGCAGCAGCTGTGCCAATTTACACTCACACCAGTAATGTATGAGAGTGCCTACTTCCCCATACCCTGACCAAATTATATTTTCCAACTTGGTGATCTTTGTCAATTTGATAGGTGAAACATTATAACTCACAGTAGTCGTGCTTTTCTTATAAAACAAGCTGAACATCTTATCATGTTAAAAAGAAAACTGAACAGCCTTTTCTCTGACCTGTCCGTGTTCTTTGTCGATTCTCCTATTTGATGATGGTCTTTTTCTTATTTACTTATAAGCAAACTTTATAACAGTATAAATAGAAAATTAGCCTTTTGTCATATGTGTTGCAATTTTTTTCCCCCAGTATAGTGGCTGACTTTTAATTTTGTTTATGGTATTTTTGTGCAGACAATTTTAATGTTTTCATTTATGGTTTCTAGGTTTTATGTCATTCTTAGAAAGACCTTTATCAGTCAGACAATTTTTTAAATTCTCTCATGTCTTCTTCTAGCACTTTAATGGTTTCACTATTTACATTTAGGTTTTGATACACATGGAATTTATTTTGTTGTTATAAGTTCTTGAAAATATATAACACACCAGAAAAAGCAACAAAGGTTCAAAAAACTATTTATATACAAGGTGTTATTATTTTGGCATTAATAGTAACAAAAGAGAGAGCTATAAAACATTCCACATTGTCCAATGACCTATCACCCAGTTCCAAATGCTATCCATACAGAAATACAAATGATTTTAATGTAGAAATGAATCTCAAAAGCATCCTGACCAAGTACATGCAATGGACTTGAGCAGAAAAGTGCTGACAAAGTATTTAATGCCTCAAAAATCTTGTGTCCGACCCTGAAGAGTTTCACGTAGAGTAAGAACATCCTTGTTCTCCTACCTCAAAGGAGTGTTGTGAAAAAGAAAAAAAGATTTCTCAAATGACAGGTGCCTGGACCTCAACAGACACTGTAATGAATTTATAAATTCTGTTTTCTTACATCCAGGAATAGGGGTAAGGATAAGGGATACGTATTAACTTCAATTATGCACAAACTCTGATCTTAACATTTAAGAGAAAAGGAACTGTATGAATTCTAGATACTAAACACTAAGTGACACCAGTATTTGAGGGAAAGGACTTAGTCAGTGAACTCCCAGTGAGTTGACGTCCTTCAGCCTCAGAGTCCTCGTGACTAAAATGGAGAAGATACCTACCTTGCAGGGTTAGAGTAAGGCCTAAATGAGATATTTGTTAAGGGCTTAGCATCATGCCTGCTGCAAAGCAGATGCACAGAAACAGGTAGCTATAATTGCAATGACCAGTCAGTTGCTGGGCTCCAAACTGTATTTCTCAGAACTTCTAATTCTCTCACCTGGTGGAGGGCACTGATCCCCTAATTTGGCTAGATTTACAAGATCTTCTCCACAGGGCAAGCCCTGACTCAATTCCTACTTACGTAAGTTACCAGACTCCTAGCTAAACCTTTCCTGCTGCAATTCTGCTGCCTCCTATCTACCATGTGGACTTCGAACTCACGCTCTAATTAGATCCTCGTGGTAGAAAATGTCCTGCACGGGAGATTTGGCTTTGCCATATCGCACGCGGGCCCTTCGGAAGACCGGCTCCCTCAGCGGGGGAAAGGCTTCATATATGTCAAACCAGAGGGGCTTCTCCTTCAACACCCCAGCCCGAATCAGGTCCCGCGTCCTTAAGGAAGTAAAAGGAGAAAGATCAGTTACAACAACTTGTCTAAGCCCCTGAATCGGTCTAGCCACAGCTAGGACATCAACGGGATCACGGAATCTGCACGACAGAGCCATTCAAGGAGGGCAGAACAGGGGTGCTTCCCACCTACAAGATATTTCCATATTCCAAACCAACCAAACAATGCTCAGCAGCGGTTAAGTCCTTCTATCTTCTTACAAGCATCCCACCACCCTCCGCCCCATTCCCGTCCCGTCAAGGAAAATGCAAAGACGGTCCAGCCAAGCCCATTAGCTTCTTCCTCCCTTCCTCTTCCTAGAGACCTCCACTCGGGGAGGGGGAGAGGTGCAATCTTGAACGTGAAAGATAAGAAGTTCAAGAAGTGATGTCAAGCACAACTATTCAGTAGCAGGAGAAAGCACAAGAGAGCCTTCCCCGGCTCAGACGCCGCACCCTGGAGAACGTCTCGACGCCCTGCTCACACCCGCCCAAGAAAGGGCGTGACCTGCTGAGAGCCCCCTCCCGGGGAGCACCCTCAGCGCACCCCAGCTCCGAGCACTCACCGCGAGAAGATGCTGCCCACGGTCTCCAGCCGGCTCCCCGCCATGGCCGGCGCCTCTAACCCAGCCCGGTGACTGGCTACAGGAACCGGAAGCGCCAGCGGCAGGCAAAGGGGGCGTGCGTCGCTAGCCGAGCCGAGGATCTCGGCGCTCACCCTGCAGCCCCGACGGGAGAGCGGAGCCAGGCAGAAGCAAAGGATTGACCGAGCTGGCGCGCTCCTCGGCGACGTGCCAGGTTCAAACCGGAACACTCGATCGCCGAGGCGAAAAGGAGGGAGCCACAGCCCGGCAGAAGCAATAAATGACCGATCTAGGAGAGGGGTTTATTATGGTGGTTGTGTTGGTGGTGGTTTTACCCTTTCTGGCTTCACTGAGCCAATTCTTCTCGAGAAGGTGGGGCAGCGCGGAGGGACGATGACGGGGAGGGGAGGAGGGAGCGTAGCCCACGTCCTGGGGGAGCCAGCCAGGAGGTTACCGGCACTAGGCCCCGACTGCGCCTAATCTTGGTTGGAGCCACAGACGACGCAGAAGGAAACCGGGGCCTGGGGAGGGGTAGGCAGTCACTTGCCCAGGGTCACAGCGCTCCGCGCTAAACCCTTGGGCCCTGGAGCACCATTCGCTCTAATAAGGATGCTGCAGGCAATTATTGTTTTCTCCCCAGGAGGCGTCGCTGGCTAGCTCCTCCCTGGAACTTGAAAAGTGAAAGTGCCGGGAATAAATTCCGAGAAGGAAACTCAAAAATCTGGTGAAAGTAACCTCTCAGGGTTACCTTTTGGCCCAACAATATACTTCGGGTAAAGTACCTCCATAGAAATTAAAGCACAATTTCGTGAAGCTATTTGTGCAAGGATCGTCATTTCAGCATTGTTTATAGTGGCAAAAAAAAAAAACTTGTCTAACGGGCAATAGCTGGAAAAGTGTGGTTCATATAGTCTATGGAACCCTATGCAGTTATTAAAATAAACGAGTTAGAACCACATGAATGCCATGAAATGGTTACATGAAAGAGGAAGTTGCAGAGAAATGCCTTTAGTGGGATCCCAACCTGTTAAAAAACAAACAAACATTTTACAGTATGTGTTTGTATGAGGATAGAAACTTGTGGAAGCGGACACATCAGGTTGTGAACATTTGTTATCTCCAGTGAAATTGCAGGAGGGGAAGGGAGAATCTTTTCTTTCTTTATCCCTCAGAGTTTGACCAATAAAGAGTTTGTCTTTATAGTTGAACTTTGTAATCCAGGGAAATGTTTTGAATCACATACACACAAAATGTCACCCAGGAGCCCATTATCTTTGTCAGCAAGAAAGTGGTGCCAAATCATCCAAGAGTTCTCCTGCTCTGTGGGAGGCTGGTGAGGAGGAGGAAAGGAATGTGTGATGAGCAGTTACTGCTTGTTTGTGTTATCTCACTCAATCCACACACCTACCCACAAGGTGTCTATTATTATCGTCTTTATAGATTAGAAAGTGAAGCCCCAGGGGGTTAAGTAACTTGCCTGATAGGTACCTGACAGAGCCAGGCTTTCAGCCTAGCCTGGGCCCTTTCCAGAACATCACAGTGCCTCCTCCATAGCTATGCTTCAAGCTGCAGACTGTGGAAGGAGTAGGTTAGGCAAAACTGGCCCCAGGGGAAGGGGACGGTGATTTGAGGCCCAGGGCTAAACTCATAGGTGGGAGTCACTGTTGCCCCAGGGCCCTCTGGAACAAGGAAGAGAGCACAGTGCTGGTGGCTGAGCCAAGTGTGGAGGCTCCAGTCTCCTAGACCTCAGATGGTCTAGAAGACTTCAGGAGAGCAAACACGCTCCCAGCTAAATATAGTCTTCCCAGGCCTCCTAACAAGTTCCTAATTCTGTCCAAGTCAGAGCTAGTTGCCAACACAGACCACAGTCACACTTCCCTTCTCCCACTCGGGCCTGTCCCAATAGGCCACTGCAGTTACCTCTGCTAAAGAACTAGAAGGGTTTATTCCAAGTTCAGGGAGGGGAGCCAAAGACCCAAACCCTCAAAGGGGGAGGAATTGCAAGGCAGGAATTTTCTCTCTAGATCTTTTTGGGGAAGTCCCTTCCTCTTCTGAGCCTTTCAAGTTTCCCCTCCAGTATCACAGCTAGTGATTTTGTGACTGATTGAGCAGAACGTTGGCGGGTAGAGTAGGAGGACCATGGAGATGGGGAAACGATGGATTGGAAAACTTGGGAGCCTACAACAGGAAGTTGCACACCCCAGGGAGTGTTCATTCATAATATAGGAGGAAGCTGTTGGGCAGCTGAGGGTAGGTATTAGAGGCTTGCTTGCTTCTCACCACAGCCTGTCAAGGCTGCAAGCGGCTGATATACTCATGCCATGCACTGTACCAGTGACTTGGATTATCTCATTCAATTGTTCAACCACCTGATGTAATGTCCTGTCAGTCTTACAGATAAGGAAACAGAGCTTGTAAATTCTCCGAAAAGCCATATTCCTTCCGTTATGCCACTCAGCTCCATCGTAGTCCCACTGCATCACACTAGATGTGCCCACTTAATCGTGTCATCTTGAGCAAGTTACGTAAGTTTTTCAGCCTCTGTTTCCCCATATGTTAAAAGGTGAATGGCAGAATCCACTCTCTGCATGGCTTGTGCAAGAGTAAAAGTGATCCTTCTTAAAAAGCACTAATCACAGCACACATAGTGAGCCTTCATGACTAACAAGTCTGACGGCTGTTGCAACACCACTATCGCTGTTGTGTCCTGTAAACCTCTGATTGCCACCCGGGACTGCAGCATATTGATGATATTTCATAGGTTGCCTTATTGTTGTATTTCCTTGTTAAAGGATCCATTCATCCCACAAACATTTAAGCATCTATCTGACCCGGGGCTGAGTCCTGGAGAAATTGACTGTCCAGTGGGGGAGACAGAGAAGCAATTCATAATTGATAAGTTATGTGCTGAAGAGCTTGTTAATTGTATTAGTTTGCTAGGGCTGCAATAACAAAATACCACCGACTGGATGGCTGAAACAACAGAAGTTTATTTTCTCACAATTCTGGAAGGTAAAAGTCCGAGATCAAGGTGTTGGCAGGGTCGGTTTCTTCTGAGGCCTCTCTCTCTTTGACTTGTAGGTGGCTGTCTTCTCCTTGTGTCTTCACATGGTCTTCCCTCTGTATGTGTCTGTGTCGTCTTCTTATGACACCAGTCACATTGGATTCAGGCTTACCCTAATGGCCTGATTTTCACTTAAAAACCTCTTTAAAGACCCTATTGCCACACACAGTCACATCCTGAGGTACTGGGGGTTAGGACTTTAACGTATGAATTTTGGAGGGACATCATTCAGCCTGTGACATGGATTGATAAGTACTTGTGCAGAGTAGCTTCTGTTTGCCCATCCAGTTTCACAGGTACCCTGTGCCCTTCCTCACTCTGCTCTGTGCCCAGGAGGCTGACTTGTATGGACTGCACCCCCAGCCCCTTGTCCTCTGCTTCCAGTTGAGTCCTAGTTGGTACTGCCAATGGGAGGCACTGGCAGGGGACTGGCAGGAAGGAGAGTGAAGTCAGTCTCTGTTCCCCTGGCACCCTGCCCGCACAGACCAGGAACATGGTCACAGCTTCCATCGGGCAGCCTTACACACAGCTCTCTCACCAGGTTCCAGTCCCCTTGCCCCTTCAGGCTTAGACACGGCCAACTGAGCCTTTCTGTCACTAGCTTGGGGTCTAGGCTATCTTTTGTGGCTTCCCTACACTCTGCCCACATCTTTGTAAATAGTGCCATTATTTGCATAGTGCCCAGGAGTTTTTCAGACAAAAAGAGGAAAAGCATCCCCAATAGCAGAACAGCTGTGTTATGTGGAAATCCCAGCATATGGATGAAGTCATTAATATTGCTACTCACCTTTGGCACAGAGCCAAGATCAGGGGAACGTCAGCTGTTGCTTTAAAAGAGGAGAAAAGCCATAGTACTATTCAGTGCACAGTTCAAAGAGCAGCAGGACGAAGGGCAAGGAGGGAGGTGTTCCAGGAGGTGGGAGTGCTGTCTCTCACCTCCAGGCTGTCACGTGCACACACTCCACCAGACTGGGTGCCCCCAGGACCTGCTCCCTCCCTTCTTGGGCTTATCTCTCTCATAATTTGGTGTTGTAACTCTGTTTACTTGTCTGAGTCTGTCTAACTGGGCCTCTCTGAGGGCAGGAACCGGGGCACTTATGTCTGCCTCCCACACTCAACCTGGTGCTTGGTCCAGAGCTGTCCCTTAGAAGGAGTTTTCTAGTGAACAGCACAGATGAATAAAGCCAATTTAGGACAAATGAGAATGCAGCCATGTCAGCCCTCCTTTGCTGCCTGCTCACATCCAGCCCTCCTTCCTGGAGGCCTCCCCCAGATAAACCCCTAGGGAGAAAGCTGTGGCTGAATGGAAATAACCCTCCACCTCACCATGCACCTGGTCATTGTCAGGTCTGGCTGTCCTCTTTTTTCTTTTACAAATCTCTGGGTCTCAACTTTTAATCCGTAACATGGACGTATTCATAACACCCGCCATATAGCTTTGTCGTGAGGAATCAGTGAGTTAATACCTACACAGTACTTAGAACAGTGCCTGCTGTATAGGAACTGCTCAATAAATAGGAGGGATGATGATAATGATTTCTGACCATTCCATGCTTAGGAGGAGTCAATCACAATTTACTGAATCACACCCACAATTAAATCATACCTAACAATTCGCAAGGCATTTTCACATGGCTGCCCATTCATTTCTTCAGCAGACAGCAGCTCTGCCCCCAAGGAGAATCAAGTTCAGGTAGAGGAGAGAGAAGCACTTTATGTCTACACCTGCCCTGGGAGGTCTGTATCACTGTGGCTCTTTATGTAGCCAAGGCAACAGGAGCCAGCTGGGCCTGGAGCCTTCTGGCCTTTTATTATTGGAATCACTCTGTGGAGTTTTCCCAGCGGTAGATGAGACCCTTGAAGGCAGACATTTCAGGGCTAGTGTGGGCCCTTCTTTTCCTGTGGAAGGCACAGCATCTCAACCTCTAATGTGCACCTGAACTTCCTGGGGTTGTTGGGAAATGCAGATTTGGACCCGGTAGGTCTGGAGTGAGGCCTGGAACTCTGCATTTCTAACGAGCTTCCAGGTTGATGCCAATGGGAAAAATATCCACAGACCACACTTTGAATAGCAAGGTTACAGCAAGGCAGGCTTGTGCCGTTTGACCTGAGCTTCACAGCTCCTCATTTCAGAATCCCTGAATAATCCTCTTGGCCTGATAAGGAATTGTGACTCTTTTTTTTTTTTTTCCTTTTTTTAGCTGAGCCATCCTGCCACCTGTTGGCAGCTCAGCGGCAGCTCAGCTCAGGCCGGGAATCAAACTGGTGACCCTGTTGCTCAGAGCTCGCACTCTTGAGCGAGCTCTTAACCGACTGAGCCACTCCACTGGCCTGGAATTGTGACTCTTGATGCTCTAGAAATGACAGACAGGGTAAATGCTGGCTTTGCGGGGCCTGAAGTTTATATAATCTTAGTGGCCCTTTTAAGAAAAAAAAAAGTTCAAAATATCTTTGTTTTGCAAATTTTATGAAACATATGACCAGGTGAGTGAATTCCCTCTGTCTGGCCTCAGGCCAAGCAGGTGCTCATGTCTTTCTTCTGGGAAAGTGGGGTTCGGCCTCTCAGTGGCTGGCGACTACCACTTCTGGAGATAACCACCAGGTGGCAGTAGATTTACACAGCCCCCTTCAACCTTCTGCCCTACCCACGTCATCTCCAGAAATTTCCAAATCTCTCTCCAGGTGGCCCAGCCAGTTAATCCAACAAATTAATCTATGCTGTGATAATGGGCAAAAGGGGTTCATGTGCTTCTCTCTCAGTAGCATATTTGCTGTTTAATGGAAATACTAAGAGATTGTTTTTAAAACCAGGTAAAGAATGCTAATAGGTGAGTTCCAGGCACACTACAGAGAGGTTTTGGGTTTTTTTTGCAGGTGGCCCTTTCTGTGCTCCACAAATTGCATCGATGCAGGGGTTCTGGGTCTTACCACCTGTTTCCCCCACCCCAACATATAGCTTAATGTTTAGGTACAAGTTCTAGAGTTCAGCTGCCTGGGTTCGAATCCAGGTACTACCACTGACTAAGGGTGACGTTGAGTAAGGACCTTAACATCTCTGTGCCTCAGTTTCCTGATCTGTGAAATGGGAGTAACAATACTGATTTCATATATCAGTTGTAGGAATTAGGTAAACTAACATATTTAAAGCACCCCAGAAAAGTTACTAGCATATCGTAAGCACTCATAAGCTGCTGTCATCTTTATCATCCCACACCTTGCCTGCCTTCTTCAAACCAATTTCTCCTCCTGTCTTTCCTCCAACTTCAACCCCCTACCAGGTGACTCAGAGAAGAGAGGGAGGGTTGAGACCCAGTGTGGTAATAACCAGGCCAGCTCTCCTAAGCGCAGCGTTCTCCAGACACATGGCCTCCTCTCAAGTTGGGGCTGAGCCCTGGGGACAGCAAAGCATTCAAAAGCAGGAGGGGCAGTGGCTGGACCAGACTCCAGAAAGCCTGGCTCAGCATTTTTGCAGGAAGTGGTGATAAATCTGTGAGTATCACCTGATGAATACCGAGACCCCACGATCTGCAGATGTGTGTGTGGAGGTAGATGGCTAGGGCAGTCATCTGGCCCAGGCAAACTCCTTCCTGGGTCCTATACATGTTATCCAACAGGGAGGGACTCGTCATGAAGCAGGGACTTCATCTTCTGCACTCCTGTTGAACCTGGTAACCTTTCTTTGCCTTCTCTCCCCACACCCTCCTCTCTGGCTCCAGTGACTGTCAGTCTCATCTACACTACCAGGCAAAACGGTGAATGTGTCTCAAACTTTGCTGCATATATAGAATCACCTAAGGAGCTTTTACAAGCTGATTCCCAGGCTAAATTCCAAACCAATTAAACCAGAATCTCTGGGAATTGGACCCAAGTATCAGAGACGATTCCAGTGTACAACAGTTTAAGAAACCGTGTTCTAGAGTAGTGTTTCTCAACCCATAACGTGACTTATACAAGTCGTCTAAGAAGTTCCCAGATGATCCAGTTGCTGCTGGTCCACAGACTAAACTTTGAGGAGCAAGGTTGTAGAACTGCAGTTCTCACACGTAAGCATGTATCAGAACCCTCTGGAGGGCTTGTTAAAATACACCCCAGGTTCAGATTCAGATCTGGAGTGGGGCCCGATAACATGCATTTCGAACAAGCTCCCAGGTGATGTGATGTCAGTGCTGCTGTCCACGGAGCACACTTTGAGCAGCAAGGGTGGAGGATGGGACACAGGTCTTCGAGTCAGACAGCCCTGGGCCCTAATTTCTGGTTTCACACCTTGCTGGCTCTGTGATCTTGGATAAATCCCTTTACCTTTCTGAATTGCTATTACATCATCTGTAAAGCGGCCATTATTGGGCAAGAGTAATTGGGCTAACAGATTGTTTAGTATTCTGGTCCGCAAACTTGAATTACTGGAGGAGCTTTAAAAGAAACCAACCCATGGTTGTTGATTTAATTGGTCTGGGTACTGAGCACCAGGATTTTCTTTAAGCTACTCAGGTGATTCTTCTGTGTGACCAATACTAGGTACTGGGCTGGCGCCATGGCTCCCAAACTTTAGTGTACATCAGAACCACCAGCGGCTGGGCTGTATTCCCAGTGTTTCTGACACAGTAGGTCTGGGGCAGGGCTGAGAACTGGCATTTCTAACAAGGTCCTAGGTACTGGTGCTTTGCTCTGGGGATTCTACTGGTCCACAGGTACCAGTCAAGAATGTGCAGAGCAGGGGTTGGGGGATGATCTTGGTTTGTCCAGGTCCTAACAGCATGTTTGGAACATCACCAGCTGTCCCAGGTATGCAAATGTACAAGCCTACCTCCATCTAACTGGGGGTGTGGGTTGTGGGGGGAACCTCTTTGTAGGGAGGGCAGGAGGAATCTGCATGGTCTGTCCTGAAGGAGAGTTGGGCCACTGAGCTCAAACATGGCATCAGGGGAATAGTGGCGGCCTTGGCCTGGGTGACCTGGAGCTCAGAAACAAGACGTGTGGGTGGAAGCCACAAGGAGGCCTTTCGACTCAACACAGGAAGAACTTTTGAACCTTGAGTACTGCCCTGTGTGGAAAGGGCACGAGCTTCCTCTTTCGGCAGCAAGTTCCATGGTGTGGGAGGTAGTCCAGCTGAGCTGGAGAGTAGGGAAAACTGGAGATATTTGAACTGGAAGGTTTCTGTGGGCCCTCTTTAAGTCTGAGATTGCACATCCCTCCAGTCTACAGTCCGGCCGTTACTGCACAAGTAACGTTTCTGTTTATTTAAAGAGGTGATCAGCTGGAGCTTTAAGGGCCAGACACTGGCTTTCCCGTTGGTGTTTCCTTTGCCGATCAATAAGCGGTTTGCTTTCCCGGGGAAAACAGGAAGCCCTCCACGCTGAGCAAAGCCAGCCGGTCGGCAAGGTGGCAGTGCGGGCAGCAGGTGTCAGCTTGTGAGTATGGTGCGGAGAGGGCTGAGCCCTTTGGGCTTCAGACGCTGCGGCTTAATGGGGACGGGAGACGCAGAGCTTCAGAGACCAAAACCCTGCCCGGGAAGAGGGAGAGACGAGAAAAGGTCCAGCCCACGCCGCTGGCCACATCAGAGCACCAAGAGAACACCAAGTCTTTATTACAGGAATTTCTATGAAACAGCCCCAAGAAAAAAACCCACACATAGGAGAAAACAAACACTAACAAAGCAACACACACGGACGTGGGGCTGGGTCTTCCCCGCGGTGCACCGGGTCCTGGCGCGGAGGGGGTTTAGGCGGCTCTGCAGGACCGGCGCGCACGCTTCCAAACTTGGTCACACGTGGCGGCAGTAGCGCGTCCCGGCCCCTCCCGTCTAAGTCCGGCCAGGCCCTCCTCTAGTAACACGAGTAACGAGGAGCGATCGCTCAGTCGCCTCCGCCGCGGCGCTGAGAGCCCGCCATGCCCTCATTATCTCGGGGTGATTTGAGGCCACCAGGGCCCCGCCAAGGTTTGGCTCCCGCTCCCAGCCCCGCGCGCGGTTGGGCTGGTTCCACATTCCGGGGGCGGGGAGGGGGGGATGGGGAGCCAAGCCTCGGGCTGCCCAGGCTTCCAGGGTCTCCCGAGAGAGGTCGGTGTGTTCCCATCACTACAGTGGGGCCAGGGAGACCAGGCAGTCTCCCTCCCGTTGGCAGTGGTTGGTGCCAGGTAAGGTTTGTAGAACTGGAGTTTTCCTCCTCGGATCATTTACCTCCTCGCTCTTGGCAAGGGGCACCCAGAAAGCCCTTGTGCCTCAGGCGCTCCCATCCAGGCTGGCAGCCTCTTCACCTTGCTCCTCAGGCCTGTACCTTCTCAAGGGTCACTTCAGAAACCACAGCTGCCCACCCGTGGCGACAGCAGAACTTCTAGTCCAGCCGGGGAATCAGAGCCCCTGTGAGCCCCCACTGTTGGGACTGCAGGGTTCCATCCAGAACTGACTTTTTTGCCCTCTGTCAAAGTATGGACTACCCCTGTCTAGCCAGAGTCCTCCAGCTCCGGGTGGCCACCCGCCCCATCACTGCTGGGGGTCATGCCAGCCCCTAGCAAAGGCAGCCTGAGGGGCCCAGGCAGGTCAATCAGCAGATACTTCTGTTGTGGCCCATCACTCCTCAGAGGGTCCCCCCCAAGTGCCTGGGGCTCTCCCACCTGAAGCTCTGTGCAGGGGCTGTGCCGAGGGCCAGCAGCCCCGGGAAAAGGCTGAGCTGCAGGAGGCAGATGGACTCAAGGTGCCCAACAGGGAGCTGTGGACAGGGGTGGGGGATCCCGCAGGGGAGACGGGCAAGAGTGGGAGGCAGGGGCTCCACTTTCAGGCCAAAGAGCCTCAGGGTCATCCTGCCCTTTGCCTGTTTTCTGGGTTTGTTTTTGTTTTTGTTTTAAGAAGGGAGGTTGTAGCCTGCATTTCCACTCATTACCCATAAAACATCCTGGCTACAAAAGGGGTTCTGGTTGGCTGTTGCCCCACCCCAGGTCCTTCCTCCAATCACAGCACGCAACTTAGTCCGAAGTTCTAAGTCCCATGGAAAGTGGCAGTGGCTGGGCTGGACTGTGGCCGGAGAATCACTGGGCCTTGGTACTCAAGTACCATCCGTCCGGCTGCAGCTGGGTTCTTCAACTGGGGGCCGGTTTTGCTCTCTGGCTGCCTCTACTGGGTCAGATCATCTCCAGCAAGGAGGAACTGCTGGCATCTAGTAAGGGAAAGACAGGAGAGAAGTCTTTTCAATGGAGCCCAGTGGTCTATCATCACTGGCTCCTGGAGAGATGGTTTCGGACAGAAGCTACGAAAGAAAGGAGCCCTCTCTTTCCTGCTGGGACTCTATGTCAGCCTTGGAACTCTGCCTGGACACACACACACACACACACACACACACACTCCAAGCTCCTAGAAAACATTCCAACTTGCAGAATAGCAGGGACTCTGGCAGCTGGAGATGGGGGAGGGGCCAGAATTCTGGTGGAAGCAGCTGTAATGGGAAGGGCTGAGAAGTGGGGAAGGGCCAGCCCATTCTGTGACACAGTAGCAGCTCAGATGAGCCAGACCAAGGGCACCTGTAGCAGCAGAGAAGTAAACTGGGGTCAGAACTTGGGGGGCCCCAGGGACCAGCCTGAGAAGTTCATAAGTCTTTAGTACTCAGAAGACCCACTCAGAGAGCAAGGGAGAAATGAAACTAAAGTGTTTTGGTGATGGAGTGAACAGAGTAGGGACAGTGAAGAGACAAGTGGCTGTTAACCAGGTGAGGAGAGTCTACCAGGGCAGTGATGGAAGAAACAAGGAAGAGAAATGAAATGGGGAAGTTAGGAGGCGAGACTGTCTGGCCTTCATTGACTTGACAGCCAGGGTTAGAAAGCCAGTTGTGGGCACCGCTGGGGATAGAGCAGATTGGGGGGACTAAGATGGAGATTGATTTTGGAGCCAACCGCACAGAACTAATGCTCAGTGCCAGAAAGAGTGGGGAGTGAAAGGACCTCGAAGAAGGCCAAGAGCAGAGCTACCAGGAAAGCTGGGATGGAGGGAGTGGGAGGAGCAATGGAAGACCCCAAAGCACCCAGAGAAAAAAGAGTTGAGAAGAAGCAAGTCCAGGATTCTGGGGCCACGGGAGCCAAGGGAGGGCAGTTTCAAGAAAGACGACGGGCCGGTCGATGGGCATGGCATGCAGAAGAGGGCACCAGAGGACGCAGAACAGGGAAAGGCCGTAGACCTGGCAGGTAACCTTCTTGAGTCAGTGTGGGGGTGGCGGAAGGGGCTGCCAGCCTGTCATGGGTGCAGGAGGATGCCACTTTTTTGCAAGTTGGGTAATGAAAGAAAATACCAAAGACTCTTGTTGGTTTTGAAGATGGGAGGAGGAGGACGTAGACTTAAGGAAGGAGCTGGAAAGGGAAAAGCTGGGAGACTCAGAAGAGACATAAATGACGAGCAAGGTCCAGAGGCAGAGGTAGCTTTAGACTGGACACATCGAGCCTGGGCATCCACGGGAAGGAGACAGCAGCAACAGTGAGTGGGAGTGGGGGCCTTTCCCCGGGCTGGCTTTATTAGAGCCTTCTGGAGAAGTGGGAAGTGTGGGTGCAGCTCCGTGGGTGAGGAAAGCCTGAGAGAACAGAGGGGTCTGGAAGTGCCGGGTGGAGGATGTTTTGGGGAGTCAACTAGAGGTGATGTGAAGGCCAGCTGCCGAGGCTGAGGGGAGAGGGCACTTGTGTTATTCCTGGCTGTCCCCTGCAGACTGCTTTACCTCACCTCCACGACAACCATCGTGGGGGAGCAAGTATTTCTCCACAGTCTGAAACAAGGCCATACCTGCCACACCGTCAGCTCAAGAAAGCCTTGTAGATGCTGACCACTGGGACCAGGGCAGCAGCTGGGGGAAGGGCAGGCAGGCAGCTTCCTGATAGGGGGAGGGGCTGGAAGAGTGTCAGGTGCAACAGGAGTCCTGGAGGAGGTGCTGACATTCCCTGTTTTCTCCCCCAGGAGTGCACAGGAAGAGAAGAGAGAAAGCAGCCTGGGGGGCCAGGGCTCCAGCCAAAAACAGAGCTGCCCTGAAAGGGGTTATTTCCTCATGTGGTTGTGGCAAATCCACCACCACCCAACCCAAGCAGCCAATGGGAGAGTTCTGTGTGTGCACCGCCGGGGTGAGGTCATCTCAGTGTTTCTTAAATTATCCTCTAAGTGTGCTCTGTGTGTCCTGGACTGTCTTCTCAACGAGGCTGTAAACTATTCAAAGTCAAAGCTGATTTCGTTTCCTGTTCCCAGCATCTGGCATAGGCAGGTATGATAATCTTTTGTCAAATGAATAAATAACCAAGTAAAAGAAATGCAAAAGACTAGTTTCCATTGCAGAAGACCATGTCCCCTGCCACATGAGGAAAGAAACCCAGGGCCTGCGCTATCCAGTTTCCTGAGCCCAATGTCTCTGGACCCCTGGGAAGACACTTGGTATGAGGGACATGGCAGCCCCGGCCTTGGGCAGTCCCTGGGCAGCTGTGGCTCCAGGCCTTACCTCTTACTGTCCTTCTCTTAGGGTTTCCTCCACCTTGGGCACTTCCTGTCGCCTTCCCCGGAAGTCTTCATCTGAAAAGCAGAAGAAAGCTGCTTCATCCTCCACCCTGTAGGGCTTCGCTCAGGCATGTCCCCCAGGCCAGGCAAGAGAGCACCCTGTGTTTGTTGGGGCACATGCTGGGGGGTGATGTGTGGGCTCTGATAAGGCAGCAGGGCACAGTGTAAGGTTAGGACACCTGGCTGCTGGCCTGGCTCCATCACTGAGCTCCAAGACCTTGGACAAGTTCTTTCCTCAGTTTCCTCATCTATAAAGTGGGACGGGGAAGTTGGACTATCCAGATGACCTCCAAGGTCCTTCAAGCCCTTGTGTCTGATTGTCTCCTGACCACCAAACAGCCCTCTGCTCGGAGACATCGGGATCAGGGCTCAGCTGTGGGCCTGATAGGATCCGCAGCAGCGTCTTAGAAGACGCTACAGCCCATGTGGCCTTGGAAAGGGACTGGATAAATGAATGCTGAATGGCCTCTGGGCCTACACGAACCTGCCCAGACCTTGGTTCTCAAGTTGAGGCCCCTCTATGGAGATAGGCCTGTCTGCCCTCTCACACCCCAGAAAATATTCCCCAGAAACAGCACCTAGCACTTTGTACTCCGGGTAGAGATCTAGGTGGAGGTGTGGCTGGGGCTCCCTTTCAGAGGTAAAAGGAAGGGAGAAGCAATATGGTCCGAGTGGAAGGACCCATTTCTTTGGGTGACCTGCCCACCAGCCCCTGATGTGTTCCCCAGGTTGGGCCCACCCATGAAACACCCAGGCCCTCCTCTTGTAGGGCCACTGATCACAGGCAACTTAGAGCTCAAGCCTCCGGGCCCTCTGTGCCTCACCACAGGTGTGGCCCTCCACGTCGTCCAGGAGATTGGCTGTTGACGCAGCAGCCCCCAGCGTGCCCAGCCATTCAGGAAAACTGTCCAAGGGATGGGTGGGCACCGCCACAGTCCTCCTACTCCCTGCCCCTAGTCCTCCATCACCCATTCCAAACTCAGGAGGCTTCCACCACACCAGCCTTAACCCCCCAGCATTCCCCCAATACCTCCCCAAGGCTCCTTTTCTTGAGGTCAGCTGAGCAGCTAGGCCCTGACTATCACCCAGCTCCCATCCTGGGGACAGAGAAGTGACTTTCTCCTTCTTCCCCTTCGGCTGTTCAGCTTCTAATGTCCTGGGCTCTGTTTGACAAGCATGGATAGGAGCCTGGGTAAAAACGTGAAACACCTCGTTTTTACTCGAGGAACTGAAAGTAAGAAGGCGGGGCCAACATGGTTGACATGAGGAGGCAGAAAGATCTGAGGATCAGTTCAGCTGGAGAAATTAGGGAAAGGTTTGCTGATTTCAATGAAGAACCAAGTCTTCTCCCAAGATGCAGCTTATGCCAGACAAAAAGTACAAAAGCTATCGACAACTTCTGCGCCTGCAGAAGGAAGATGGGAGATACAGGCCCTCTCCTCAAGCCTGGTCATGGTAGTGGAGACTGGCACGGAGAGATGGGGCAGCAGGCTGGCAGCACAGCTTGTGGAGAAGGGAGGGCCACAGAGCCCGGTCCCACTCCTGAAGGAGGTGAAGCCTCAGGGAGCCCAGAGTCTCAGTGCCCTTAGCACCCACTGCACCCACCCAGTGCCAGACCGAAAAGGATATGACTGATGCTTCAACAAGTGTTTCCTCTTTGACTTCCTCATCTTGGTCTTCTCTGAGAAGGCCCTGGCCAGTTCAAACAGCTTCCTCCGGGTGGCTGCAGACAGAGAGACCTGTGAGCCAGCAGCTGGAGTACAGCAGCAGGTAGCTGCCCACCAGGGCTCAGGAGAGGCTGGGGCAGGCCCCCTATCCCCACCAGGGCTGGAGACAGGTGGGCAGGCTGGTATGAAAGCCCAGGGAGCTGGGCAGGTGATCCCAGGCTGGTGCCCTGGGGGAGTGAGGCTGCCATCCTGGGTCAGCCTACAGGGGTGGCACAGGCCACTGCAAGCCAAACCAGGGACAGCTGGCAGCCCGAGATCTGGGTATTCCTTCTCAGCTGCAAACAACAATGCATCTTGGCTTTCTTTCCTGCCGCCTCCCCTCCTCCCCTCACCACCTCCAGAGTTGCTTCTAGGATTTCCGTGATTAATCTCAGATTTTCCCTGAAATGGAGCCTGAAAGGATGGCAGCCTCATTCACACATGGTTGTGTGTGTGGGGCGGATTGGGCTGAGCTGCAGGGGGAGGTGGAGGGGAAGGCGAGTACCGGCTGGCAGGGCTTTGTGCGAAGAGGTCACCAACCATGCAGGCCTCCCACCGGTGGGTTTAGCAAAGGCCTCCCCACTCAGGCCTGGCCAAGCCCCTCCAAGTCACAGAGAATATGAATATATGAACACTAAAACTTGGGGTGAGGGGCACAGCACATTATTTTTCTGCAGACAGCTGGCTCAAGAGGATTTAAAACTTAATTTGTATCCAGACTCAGCTGCAGAGGGAAATGAGGCAAGAAGGCTGAGGGAGCCAGCCTGCGATTAAAATGTCACTTTGGTTCACCAAGAGTCAACTGCATTAAAAATTCCAGGGGGCCCTCTCCCTCCCATGAGGTCACATAGCCTGTCTTAGAAGTGTTGGGAGGGGGACATGGCCTGGACTCACATTTTCCCATGTGTTTCAATTTGTCCCTGAATAAGGCATCTTCAGACACAGTGGAGTTGGCGTCACTGGTTCCTGGAAAGAGGAGACAGTTCTGAGGGCCAGCTAGAGAGGAAGAGTGTGTCAGGGCTGCCCTGAAGGACGGGTTCAGCCCGACCCTGCTGTTTAAGGAAGGAAGCAAAGAGCAGGCTTCTTACGTAACAAGGATGGAGCTTAAAGCAAGGGCACTTGGGGTTCAAGGAGCACTTCTTTCCCGACCCGAGCCTCACTTTCCTCTTCCATAAAAAGAGGGTCTGCTGTATGTGTGGAGAACGGGCTCCCATGCGCTCCCGACTGTCTGCTTCTCTGACCAACTCCACGTTGGTCAAGTCCTATTGGCAGCTTGAAATCAGCCACGGTGGGAGTTTTTTACACCGTGTAAGTCACCAGACACTGCACATCCGGCCTTCCCCTGCACCCCAAGACCAGCTGTTACACATTCACCAGCATGTGGCTGGCCTGCCTGCTACCCACAGGGTGTGAGAGTTAATGAGGTAACGGACGGGAGGTGCAGGGCACGGAGGCATTCACCCGTGGTCGCGCCTGTCTCCTTCCCTCCAGGGTCAGCCCCTCCATTACTCCCTTCAGACAATGAGTAGGAATGAGAATGGGGCTCGTCCCAATGTCAGAACCCAGCGGGCCACCCACAGTCTCCCTGTTTCCTCAGCACCCACTTGGGTCTCCTACTGCCCTTCTAAAGCCCCTGCTCTCTACCCTGCAACTCAGCTAATCCCGAGTCACCTTGTTTGCTAAATCTCCCCGTGAGGCAATTCTGATCCATCTCAGCAGCCCTGGTGTCTATAGTTAATTCAGGATCAAGGACAGAGGCTGCTGTTTTAAACCCTCACATGCACATCTGGTGGGTCCTAAGCTCCCAGCCCATTGCTTGAGTCAGTTCCATGGGATTTTCTCTCTTCAAGCGGGGATCAGCTGAGCTCCCCATCCACTGCTCCCCTGCCCCCACTTCACTCCATGATGTAAGGTCTGTTTGGGGCAGAGGCTGATAATTCTGTCTCTGAGGGGGGCAGCCTGTGTGTGCGTGGAGGGCTCCGGCTGACAAGGAGCCACCATGCACACATATAGGCAGAGTTAAGATATCAAGTGTGGAATCAGGACCTCTGGGCCCATCTGTTCCATGTTCCCAGCTTGACCCTCGTCTGTTCATCCCAACAGGCTGCTGTCCACCCTGGGCCCCCCTTCAGCTGGTTCGGGCTCCTGGAGGAGCCTGGCCCTCTCTTGAGGCCATTCTTGCTTCTTACCATCTTATATGTGAAGCTTAAAATTCTCTTCCTCCAACACAAGGGCAGGGCCTGGCTCACGGCAGAGATTCCCCAGCTATTGAATATAAAAAATGAGTGATCCCTTCCCAGACTGGTCCTGCCCTTCTCCTCACCATGTGTCTGCTATGTTCAACAAACGTGTCCTCAGCTTTGCTGGTTTGCTCTTCCTATCCCTGGATGTGTCTCTGTAAGCTCCCCTGGGGCAGAGACCATGACTTGTTAAGTCTCTGAGTCCTTCTTTTCCCCCTTCCCACACGGAAGGGGTTGTGGCACGTCCCCTTCTTGCTCATGCTCCAGGCACCTCTGAGTTCATCCAGCCTGTTAGCCAACCCCAGCTGTGGTCTCCAGCAGCTGCTGGATTGACAGGAGTCCAGGGTTGCTAAGTGGAGGGGCCATCTCGCCCCACGGTGAATGTGGTGGCGGGGGCAGAACCCTCCCCACCAGCCTATTTCCTCACCCTACCCCCCAACTCCAAATATGCAAAGCACAGCTGGGGTGAGAGCCCCTGTGCCCTCCAGGCCTCTCTCCCAGAAAGGCAAGGTTACCTGGGGCAGGAGAGGGAAAGTTCAAGTCATTTCCCATAGCCACGCTGCTGGATTTGGATTTCTGGGACTCATATTTCAATCGATCTGGAAAAGAACCACATACCGGTCAGGGAAGGTAGTGCCTGGGCTGAGACAGTCTGTGGTTGGAGGCCAAACCCCAGATGTGCACGTAAGCACACACAAAATATGTGTACACCCAACGTCTGCTGGCTCTTAAAGAACCAGCAATCATAGAAACTACTGCCCTGACAAGCACTGGAATGGTGGGATGGCAGCATTAGAAGGACCCCGGGCAGTCTTATAGTCCAACCCCTTCATTTAAAAGGAATGGCTCCAAGACCCCCAGCACCTTTGCTCCAGAGCTGGGGCCAGCCTTCTCCCTGCACACCTTGCTCCTCCCCCATGACACACTGTCCGTACACACACACACACACACACACACACACACACACACAGAGCCACTGTGACCTGCACAAGACAGACTTCCCACAGCCCTCTTGCTGTATTCTACCCCAAACACACTCCCACCCTGAAGAGGAAAGGCAGCCAGGCTGGACAGGAGGGTCCCCAGGCCAAAGACAACCCAAACACCCAAAAACCTCAAGAACCTCTGCTTTAACATCCTCCACTCAGGCAGGCTCCCACTGTGGCACCCATGGACCCCGTCACTCTGTTTCTGGAGCTCCAGGCTCATCATGCTGAGGCCAGTGCCTGGCACAAAGCAGGTACGTGGAGGGAAGGACAGGGCCTAAGAAAGACACCTCTCTTCCTCTGAGTATAGGGCAGGGAGAAGGGGTGGTTGGTGACAGGTCCCCAGTGGCAGAATTCTGGGGCTCCCACAAGGACAATGTGGTGGGGGCCATGTCTCAGCAGTTCAGAGGTCACCCTTGGCCTCCAGCTCCCTTCCTCTCCTGAGCCCCAAGGCTACAGCCAGCATCAGCTCCCTTCTTCAGACATGGGGAAGTGGCTGCAGTGCCCACACCAAGTGTACCACCTCTCTCCAGGGCCAGGAGGAAGTCGCGATTGCGTTGCAGCTCCTTCATGAACTCCTCGTTCTGCAGGAAGAGCGCGATCCTCTCGTCCTCCAGGTACTGCTTCCAGCGGCTCTCCTGGTCCCGGGTCCCAGGCCCAGCCACGGGGAGCATGCCTCCCTCTCCACTCATGGGCTTGGAGCCCCCGGGGTTGCCCTGAGAAGGGGAGTGAGCATGTTGAATGCCTACTCACAAGGGCACATGCTGCACAGACATCTGTGCACACTGGTGTACACGTCCTTTCCCAGGACCCTCCAGCCACACCCTCGGGCCTCCATCTCCTTCCAGGATCTAGTCATAGGCCAAAATCCAACTGAACAGGCCAGGGCCCTTTCTGCTGAGGAAGCAGCAAAGGCTTAAAAACGACTTTTTCCTCCCTCTTAGACTACCCCATCCCTTTATCTACAACCTGAGTAGCCCCCAAAAGTGATCTGCAAACTGCTCAATAGCCTACACACGGATTCCCAAACTCAAAACTCTCCCTGCACCGGCAATCTCAGGGTGAGACCCACCCTGTGAAAGAGCCCCTTGGGTCATGCCAACGTTTAGGAGAAGCCACTTCTGGCCCTTTCCCAGGAAAGGGAAGGAAGATGCCCTGGCTCTGCCACGGGCTGCCTCAATGCCCACCTCCCACAAGCCTGGATCGGTGGCTGTAGCCAAAGTCACCTCAGGGCTGTCACCTTCCCTGGGTGGAACAGGAACTCTCCTGGCCCAGACAGGAAATGGTTCAGCATTCTTTCCCTACAAACCCAGGGCAACAGAAATAGCTCAGCCTGGGCTTAACCATCAGGAAGCGAAACTGGCTGGCACAAACTGTGGAGGCAAGCAGAGAAGCTGCACGGGCAGGTGGGGGCACCCCCCATTACCTGTATGCTGTCTAGCTGCTGCGGCAGGATGCGGAGGAAGTCATCGGGGAGGTTGCCTAGCAGTGGTGGGTTCCAGTTCCGATAGCGCCTCTGGCTGGAAGGGGGCGCAGAGCCCAGCACATCGATGCTGGAGGACGAGGGGTGACAATGAAGAAGGAAGTCAGGCCCAAACACAGGTGTCCTGGCCCATCACACCAAAATCCTGCTCAGAACGGCACCCCCACTTCCCATGGCCTCCGTTGCTTCCAGCACAAAGGTTGGGTGCTCTAAGTTGTCTTATCAACCAGGCCTTGGCTAACGCCCCGCTCTGGCCCAGGGTCTGGGTTCCTGCTGCCCTAGAAGTTCACTGCTCTCCAACGACTCAGAGCCCTCAAGGTCTCTAGGCCTACAGAGCTCTCTGCTCACGGCACTCAGGTTGGGAGTCGTGGGTTTAGACGTAGATATTTATGAACGTCCTCTAAAGACATCAGGGATCATGTCCTTTCATGCTTATATCCCTAACACCTAGCACAGTGCAAGCTCATGGCTGCTGGGGAACAGGTGTGCTCCACCAGACACATAAGCCACCAACAGCCCAATCTGCCCAAATGTTGGTTTGCTGGGGTGGGGGGTCGTGGGGATGCCAGGATCCCTACAGAGTAGAGCAGGTCTGGGCTCCAGTTCTGACACAGCCGCAAGCCAGCAAGGTAGTCTTGGGTGAGTCTCTGCTCCCCTCTGGGGCTCAGTTTCCTCATCTAGAAACTGCTACCTCCCTGCCAAGGCAGGTGGGGGCCACTCACAAGGTTGTCCAGAACAACATTCTGAAAAGGCATATAGAGATGTGGAAGTGGGAGGGTTCTTGTTCCAGGAGGCACTCAGGGGCCACTTTTCTAGGCAAGATGCCTGGCATAAGGTCTGTGCCATGGCAGAGGCCAACAGCAAGGCAGGAAGGAGAGGAACAGAGCTGCCCTCCCTGATCCCCAGGCTCCAAGCCCGGCCACCCTGGGCCTGAGGGCAGCCTGGGGCCGGGCCAGGAGCTCCCCACATCTCCCCGGCAGCCTGCAGCGTGGCAACCGCAGGACACGTGTTCTGCTGAATCAGGGAAGTGACACACACAGTAGGGAGCCGAGGACCGGGGGCGGTGGGGGCCGCTCTGGCTCTGAGGCCTGGCTCTGATTTGGTCTCTCCAGCTCCAGGAATCCCGCCGCCCCCTCACTGGAGGAGAGCTTTTCCGCTGGGCTGCCACCGCCTGTGGAAATAACTTCCTTTCTTTTTCTATTTTGGGCAGGTGGCCTGATGGGGGGGTGAGAGGGACGGGGTGCAACAGCAGACAGGATAACAAGCTGCTAAGTGCACGGTGGGAGCGGCACATGCAGACTGGAGCCAAGGGAACCCCGGCCTCATCCATCCTCTTGCTGTACAGCTGAGGGGACGAGGGGATTGTCTGGAGCACAATTTGCATCACAACCCGGGACCTGATTCCTAGGCAGCTTTCTCTCTCTATCACTTTGCTGACTTCTGTCACTGTTGGAGGCTTCATTTTTCCCCAGGGCCTGAGAGACAGCAGAGAGGGTGCCCCATCTCTCAGGGACCTGAAGACCACCTCTGATCCATCCAGCATGGAGAAATCCTCTCCGGGGTCACCACCCTTTCTTGGGCTTCGGAGTCTTCATCTGGGATATAGGTGTGCACCCCAACTCAACCACATCTACAGCCACCCAAGAGGTGAGAGCTCTGGACCTCACTAGCTATTTTACTGAGAGCCCAAAAGGGGAGGAGGACGAGGAGTGGAGCCCCGTCCTCAGCTGAGTTTCCCTTGCTGTTGGATCCAAGGAAGGGCAGGCCCAGCCCCCTCCGGGCCCCTTGCCCTGGCACCAGCGGAGATGAGGTCAGCCCGCAGCTGCAAGAGACAGGGGGGCCCTGAGCCCAGGCAGCCCAGGCAACTCCATTGTGGTTGGAATGGAATGTCAGAAATGAGCCGAGAGGCAAATGAAAAACTTCCAAGGCTGTAATTTCAACAGAAAAACAGCAGGTGGCCTGTGCCGAGGGGTGCCTCTGGGTTTCAGAGCAGGCCTTTCATTCAGGAGATAGAGAGAAGGACCAGCTGGGGGAGGGGAAGGAGAGAGCCAATTGGAGAAGCTCTCTCCTGGCCCAGAGCCTACTTCTGGACCCCAAAACTAGAACTTCACGCCCCATCAGACCTCCAGGTTTACCCATGGAACATCAGGCCCCAGAAAGATTTCAGAAACAAACCTTCAGGGCAGAATTTTTGGTCAAGACTGGACACTGAGGCACAGATGGGGTCAGGCTCTGTCCCAGGGTACACAGATCATCCAGGCAAAACCAGGGATCCTGGGATTTCAGGCACACTCCCCTGGGATGACCCTGCCCTTCTGTGCCCCAGCAGGAAAAGCTCCCAAACTCTGCCCCATCTGCAGTCTCACAGGCACCCCAGTGACTGGAGGTGGCAGAAAGGCACCAGGCCATTCCTCCCGCCACCTCCTCCTCAAATCTAATCTCCCCCACCAGCAAGAGGGAGATCCTAAAACACTAACCTGATCACATCACTCCCCAACTTAAACCCACTGGCTGTGGGAAAAGGTCAAAGCTCCTCAGAGGACACACAAGGACACCGTGATCTGCTCGCCTCTGCAGCCTCACTCAGCCATTCCATACTTCCTGAAGTTCCCCAGATGGCTCCCGCTTTCCTGCCTCCAGGCCTTTGCACATGCTGTTTCCTTTGCCTGGAATGCCCTTCTGTCCTCTGCTTCACCAGGTCACAGCTTGGACATCAGCTCCTCTAGGCAGCCTTTCCCGTACCTTTGCCCCATGTCTACATGTCCCCCAGACTCTGATCTCCTTGGTGGTGGTGGTGGGCGTCAATGCAGTGCTGTATTCATCTCTGCATCACGCACATGGTTCAGCACCTGCATATTGCAGGTGCCTCAATAAATGCTGGAAATGAATGCCGCAGATGGAGAATGAATGAGGCTATGGAAATGGCCTAGGGGTAGAGCTGGGCCTAGCAGGGCCATCCTGGCGCAAAGGGGCACATGCCCAGAGGCTGGCCGTGCCTCTTCTGAACACTAGCCTCCAAGGCAGGACTCACCACTGGTCTGAGTGCTCAGTGTTAGAGCTCAGAGGCCAGCTATGCAGTGGGGGGAAGGGTGGGAGGAGCCGTGAACCACTGACGGTGGTCTGATCCATGCCTGGCACTATGCTGAGTGCTCCACACGTAACTCTCAGTCAATCTTCACAACAGTGCTGAGGTGGGGATTTGTATTCCCATTTCACAGACAAGGCAAACAAAGTTCAGAGACACTAAGTAATGAGCCAAAGGCCACACAGCAAAGGCACCTAAAGAATTAGAAGTTAGGGGTGGCCGGTTAGCTCAGTTGGTTAGAGTGCAGTGCTTCTAACACCAAGGTTGCTGGTTCGATCCCCACATGAGCCACTGAGGTGCGCCCTCCACAATTAGACTGAAACAACAACTTGACTTGGAGGTGATGGGTCCTGGAAAAACACACTGTTCCCCAATAAAATTTAAAAAAAAAAGATTCAGAAGTTAGGCAGCTGAAAAAAGGGGGTGGGGAGAGCACTCTGTTTCTGGCTGACACCACAGCTCAAGTTCTCTTCCCTGTATCCACCCTCAGCTCAGCAAAGCCTTCATTTCTGGGTCAGGCCCCTGAACCTCAGGCAAGGGCAGTGACTTGTCCAAAGTCACAGGGTTTGAACGAGGCCTCCTGAGCGCTGGTCTAGTGCCAAGGTCACCTTGCCCCCAAACTGGGGCTTCCATCATTGGGCTGCACTGCCGTTGCCCCCAGCTCTAACCCACCCACAGCAGCTGAACACCCAGCCAGAGCAGGAAAGAAAGGATCTGGCCAGAATACCCATGCCATGTTTCCACTGGGATCCTGTCTCTTATGGCCTCAGTTTTTGCTTCTGAAAAATAGGCAGAACGACTCTGCTAATAGAAACGGAAACTTTTGCAAAAGCATTTTGGGATTAAAAAAAAACAAAACAAACAAACGTCAAAGGAAAATCATTTAGCCCCGTCCCAGGCTGCAAGCCCTGCCAAGGTCTCACCCAGACCCACCCACTTACTCCCTGCGTCCCGCCCCATCACAGCTTCCTAGTACAACTTGTACTAGGAGCCCAGTTTTGGTCCTGTTCCTGACTCAAAACAGTGCTCTGCTACCTCCCCCCATAACCTTTCAGGCCTCTATCAGTTCCCTCAGCTGCAAACACAGAATTTTCTCATTAGGGAGGAAACAGAATGCAGCAGTGAACAGCACTGGTTTCAAAATGACCTGGGTTCAAGTCCCAGGTCTGTGATCTTGGGGAAGTTATGAAACCTCTCTTAGGCTCCGTTTCCTCATCTGTAAAATGGGAATGACAACTGTGCCTACCTCATCAGTTGTTAGAGGATTTGAATGTGATGGTTTCCAGCGCTTGGTAAATGGTAGCTGTTATTATTGTCTATACCTGTATGATACTGTGTTTCCCCAAAAATAAGACCGGGTCTGATATTAATTTTGCTCCAACAATCTATATTTATTCATTTATTCATGTACAAAAATCTACATTTATTCAAACAGTCGTGTCTGGCTGACGGTCTTAACTGGGGCTTATGTTTGGGGTAGGGCTTATATTACGAGCATCCTGAAAAATCATGCTAGGGCTTATTTTCCAGGTAGGTCTTATTTTCAAGGAAACACGGTAACTAGTACTATTGGGTTGTCAGAAAAGTCATGACTTATTTTTTCTGTTTTTCGTTGCAAAAATGCGTCATGACTTTTCCAACAACCCTATATATATATATAACAATAACTATACCTAGTCTCCACTACCACTGTCTGAAGCTCCCAAGATCTCCAGAAGGGACAATCCACTGAAACAAGTCCCCTGTCCCATAATTTCACCCCACCCTTCACCACCCCAGGCCTGAGTCATTCTAAGGAACAGCAGCCCTGGGATAAAGAGACACCTGGATTCCAGCAGCCCCACCACAAAGATGAAGCCCAGAAAAAATAAGCACCTCAGCGACCCCTGGGACCCAGCTGGCAACCGGTTTCATGTTAAGTTTCCAAATGACAGAGTCCCTGACCTGGAAGAAGTCTTCAAGGACCTAGCAGTCTATTCCCCTGCCTCCAGTTATCAAACTATCCCAGAAAAGGAGGCTTACTTGCTCCCGTTGCTTAAAAACCCCCACAACCATCCCTAGACCAGGGATGGCAAATAACATATCCATTCCACCAATCACTGATGACTGTCTGGGAGTGCTGTGTTAAGGAGGATTCTGAGATTCTGTCTCGACTGAGCAGGAAAGAGCACAGCGATCAATTACTAACGACTGCCATGCGCTCGGGAGGGGAAGTGTCAGGACAGTTCCACGTGTTTATCCTTCCTGCTCTCTATCTCCCTTGACTCTCAGCTCCCAGAAAGCAGAGGCTGAGCCTTATTGGACTCTGTGTCTCCTGTGGTGTTCAGCATGGCAACCAGCCCAGAGAAGGAATTTAGGGAATGTTTGCCCTTGCAATCCTTACAGTTCGAAAGTTCTCTTTGGTATCTAGCTAAAATGTCTTTTGCTGCAGTAGAAGTCTGTCCTTGCTGAGGGGTCCAGCCAAAATTCCCACTGTGTTTTGTACCCCATCCCAACCCCTGATCCCTTCCCCACGGCTCTGCACTCTGAGAGGAGCTTGATTCTCACCGGGGAGGTGGAGTTGGGGGAGCCAGAGGGTAAGGCCTGTCAAACATGTGCATGTGGTAGGCTGGCGGGGAGTACACAGGTGGGGGCTCTTCGTCGGAGCTATCCGGTTCCAAAGTCCTTTCCAAGATCTGTATCAGAGAGAATAAAGAAAAGAAATATTAACAACCCTTCCTTGAATTTAAATAGCATTTATACAAAATCCAGCGTGGGCGAGGACGTAAGGGAACTCTGCTTTGCTGGTGAGAATGTATATTGCTACAACCAATACTTTGCAAAAACGGTGTGGCTTTTATATACTGAATGGCCACCCCTGACCCTACAGTTCCAACATGCTCAACAAATGTGAAAGCACATGTCTCCAAAAGAATGTTCAGAGCAGCATTATCCACCCAAGTAAGGTTCAGAAACAAGCAAAGCAAATCGCCGTGATAGAAGTGAGAGCAGTGTGACCTCTGTGAGGGTGGGGAAGGTCGAGATGGGGCACAAAGGGGGCTTTCCAGGTTCTGTTGATGTTTCTTGATCCGGGTGCTGGTGAAATGTCACTGAGCTGCGCACTTGTGATTGATGGACTTTTCTATGCAAGTGTTATTGTTGATAACTAACTTTAACATCATCCATACCCTCTCTCAAAGTACTTCCAGATGGATTACCTCACTTAAACCTCAAACAACTTGGTAAGGTAGGGTGTGGACTGTTACCCCATTTTACAGATGAGGAAACTGAGGCCCAGGCTGATTAAGTGACATGGCAAAAGCACACATTATTTTTAGAGCTGAGTCTTCAAGTTGGACATGGTCTTCTGCAGCTACAGTCCCTCCTTCAGGCATAATGCCTGCATTCCCAGGGTGAATTCTCAGGGTGGACAATGGCAAGGGGAGTACCCAGGAGGCCTCTCCCCACAAGACTCCTCTCTTCATCCAAGAGCCAGAAAGAAAAACAGGGAGAGGTCAAGGGCTGGGCAAAGGCTGGGGTTCCTGCTATGTGGACTAACCTGGACCATTCCCCAGAGGTCCACAGAGGAGTCTGGGGCAGGAGGCAGCCATCAACCAGGAGATCCCAGGACATATAACACATATCACCCCAACCAGCCTATACCTTAGCATCCTGCTCCCCTCTCCTCTCCTCCCCAACCTTGTTCCCATCTCCTCCAAAACTAAAGAAACTGGAAAGGGTTTAGAGGCTATCAACTGGCCCAAGTCCCCAGGCCCTGTGTTTTAACCCCAAGTAAGTTTGCAGAAGTCACAGCTGAAGTGCCTCTGCTCTGCCTCTGCAAGCCTGGGCTGGCCAGGCTGCACTGGCGCACCCCTGCCCTGAGCCCAGCCATGCCCAGAGTCTCACTGGGACACCTGGCAGATGGGCAGGTGGTAAGTGAACACACACACAAGTGCACACATGTTCATGCACACACACACACACACACACACACACACACACAAACACACACAGCCACGCTCTGTGCACACACAGCCAGCTTGACCCAAGGAGGCCTCCCGCCCTGGAATGCACTAACGTTCTTTCCTTTGAGGCGGAAAGTATTTAAACAGATGCTTTTGAAGAAATAGGAATGTAGCTGCTTTGCGGGCCACTGTTCGGCCTACCCCAAATTTCCACTAGAAGAAAAAAAAGAAAGAAAGAAGAATATTCTGAGCTCCATTCCTGTTCAGCAGTAAAACTCCGGTGCCTGGCACAGGACAGTAGCTCAGCAACGACCTGACACAACCAGAGACCGTGCCGGTGCTGTCTCCCAGCCCCCATTCCCGAGACCCCGCTGCTCTGAGGGACAGGGTTCCAGGCTGGGCCCTTTAAGCCAACTCCTGGAGGCTGAGCCCCTCCGCCCTCAGTGGCTGGCCAGTCTGTCCCCACTAAAGTTGGTCTGAGAGAGATGGGTGAAAAGGCAAGAGCTCAGTGGGAATCGTTTCCAGAAGGAAGCTGCTTGGGGTTTCCCATGACTGGCCCAGCAGTTGGCCCCCCAGACTCAGGGAGCTCAGGCCTCCATGACTGCATCAGGAGGCCCCCTTGCCTCTCAGCCTCTCCTGCGCCTCAGTACGACCTCCTGGGCTGCAAGAGCCAGACGCTCATCAGAAGCTCCTGGAAGCAGAATGAGGAAACGCCAAGGAGGCAGGCGTCGGGCCAGGCACGCTCCGGAAAGGCTGATCCCGTCTCCAGGGAGAGTAACCCAAGCCATGTTTCTGGCCTCCCCCTGTCTCCCTCCCCACAACCCCACCAGCCACAATGAGGTTGTTCTTCTGGCTCTAAAGGTGCTGAAGTTGTCGGCTCTGCAGCCTCCTGGCTTAATTCAGTGTGGGTGATGGATGCCTGCCAGGTGCTCTGGGGGCCAGGGTCTGGCCATTTATCTGACAAAAGATGTTTCTCTGTGGCAAGGCTACCCCTCGGGCCAGCCCACCATCCATCAGCCCCCAGAGAGGGGGCTTTTTGCAGTCAGCAGTTATTGTCATTCCAGCTGCTGCTCATAAATTTTCCGAAGCACTTTCCGCTGGCTCAGGAACTGCCTGCCGATGGGCCCAGGCAGAGCTCCAAAGGTGGGGGGTTGGGGAAACAGCGGAGGAGGGGTGCTGAGGAGGGGCTCAATCTGGAAGGCAAGATTCTTAGAAAAACAGAAGCACCCGCAGTGCAGGTCTAGCTAGGGGATGTTGAAGCCTTGCAGAGGTTCCCAGGGCTGTAGGAGCTGTGGACAAAGGAGGAAATAGTATCCTACCTGCCAGACTGTCAGAGCAAATGAGACTGTGGAAGGGTCAGAGTTTGCAGAGAACTTCCCTTCCAGCTCAAACTTAAAGGATGCATCTGTGTGAGCTCTCGCGCGCTCTCTCTCTCTCTCTCTCTCTCTCTCTCTCTCTCTCTCTCTCTCCCTCTCTCTCATACATACACTCACCCCTCCTTTTCATAAAAGAAAATCTGGCTTTTCCGATACTCCCTCTACTTGCTAATCCAGGCAGGTCAAAGGAGTGGTCTCCTGGGAAAAGAGACTAAAGAAAGCTGTGTAAAGACAGCAGCCAACATTTATTCATTCAACATTCCCTGAGTGCCTGCTACATGCCAGGACTGTCCCAGGTGCTGCAGGTGACACAGGGATGAGCCAGATGTCATTACCCACAGAGCTTCCCCTCCACCTGGAGAGAGAAATCCCAGGCAGCACCTGCTAAGGGAGGAAGAGCAAGTGGGCTTCACCCTGCAGGATGACTCTGACTGAGGGACAGTGGCTGCCTGCAGGGCTGCGCTGAGTAGGACTCTGAGGCCATATCTGGGTCTAGGTTTTCTCACTGTAAATGAGGGTAATAATAATGCCACCTCACAAAGTTTGTGAGGCTTAGAAGAGATGATACATCTAAAGCACAAGGATGGTGCCTGGCACAGGCTGGGACTCGGTGAAGAGCAGAGTCAAATCCCATCCACTGGGCCCTTCCATATTGTCCATGGCTATATATGCCACATGCCCTTGCAGGCAGTGACCTTCTCACTGAGAGACTCCGTGTACCTGTTCTGCACCCAGCACTGCAGGCTCTGAGGGGCTGAGGGGCCAAACGTGTACTGAACTCTTGGATGGCGCCAGGGAGGGCTGGCCATGCCTGGCAGGTGGGCCTTGTTGATGCAATGGGATGGTCGCATGTCCCCTATCCAACCTCCTGGAGTGAGGGGAGAGCAACTTGGGTATCTATCACTCACTACCACCTTCATCATGCCTCATCAGAGGTCTGATGTCACTCCTCTTCCATGGCTCCTTGTGCTCTAGAGACACAGCCCCACTCTTTCTCAGCAGCAAGGCCTTGTCAACCTCCTGGTCTCCATTCATTCTAGGATCCTGTCAGATGATCCTGCCATCAGTTTCCTAGCGACTCATGCTCTGTTTCACCTCTGAGCCTTTGCACAAGCTGTTCCCTCTGCCTGTACACTCTTCCCCTCACTCTCCACTCTTCCTTCGGGTCTCAGTTTCCCTCTCTGGGAAGCCATTCTCTCCTCTCCTCCTTCCATTTCTCCCATCATAGCACTTACTACTCCAGGCTGTCATGGCCTGACTCTTTCCTCTAGTCCCCACCGAACTGTAAGCTCTGTGAGGGCAGAAACTTGGTCTGACTTGGCCCAGGTGAGTACCCAGAGGTTGAAGTGTAGCCTTTCTTTGAAAAATACAGACCAGAGGGCTCCAGTTTGGATTAGCATTCACTATGTTGGATGGGGCCCAGGTGTCTGCATTTTTTAACAAGCTCCTTGATTCTGATGACCCCTGACCCAGGGTCTATTACCATGCCTGGCATATACCACTGAGTAGATAGATGCTCAGTACTTGTTGAATGACTGCATGATTCCTGCCCATAAAATAAGGCCACTGACTGACTTGGGTACGGTGTCCTTAAGAGAAATAAGGCTGCTCACTAGTTAGAGCCCAGACTGGGATATAACTCAAGTCCTCTAAGGTCAAACAGCGCCGGAGCTCCTGGTGAATTACCAGGGCCTCGCCCCTACCTCCGGGGGAATGCTGTCCTCGGAGTCAGAGCTGTCCTCGTAGGCGCTGCCACCACTCCCCTCCAGGTTCATCTGCAGCAGCTGGTCGATGGTGGCGTCCACGGCGCCGCTGTTGGCGCGCAGAACGCACTCGATGATGTCGTAATCCATGTTGGGGAACATGGTCTTGAAGTCGTCCATGGCCTGGTTGAACTCGAGGCGGCGCACCTGGCGGGCGGGCCGGCTGTTGTTGAGCTCCTGCGAGGCAGCCGCCGCGCTGCCCCCAGCCCCGCGCGCCCCGGCGGAGCCGCCCCCGGCGCTGCCGCCGCTGCTCCTGCGGAACAGGCTGGTCATTTTGCCGATCCGCTGGGCGAAAGTGCTGCCCGCCGGCGCCGAGCCCCTTCCCCCGGGTCCCTGCGCCGTCGCCGCGCGCTCGGCGGGCTCAGGAAGCTACTCCCGCGCCGCCCCCGGCCCCTGGGCGGCCAGGCGGGGACCAGACGGGCGGGGTCCCCGGGTCAGGAGACTAGGGCGCTGGGCCACCGGCGGCCCTCGGGGAGCGGTCCTCGAGGGGCGGCGGCATCCGGGCCTGGGCCGTGGGGGGCAGGACGGCTGGTCATCCACACCCACGGAGCATCCTGGGGCCGGTTCCACGGAGGTCACACCTGAAACCGAGGGAGACAGAGTCAGGGGCAGAGCGCAACAAACTGGAGCTCATCAGGGTGATGGCCAAGGGAATTAGGGTGACTCCTGCCACGCCCACGGGAGAACTGCTTCCTTCTGCTTTTTCTCCAGCTGCAATCATTAAACAGCCATGGTTCTACACTAACACAGCAGAGCTATACCAGTTGGCAAGGGCTTATTCTGTGCCAGGCACCATCCTAAGTGTTCTGTGTTGGCTAACTCATGACACACTATGAGGTAGGTGCTAGTGTCCCCAGTGTGGAGATGGGAAAACTCAGGCATAAACGCTGGGGAAGTGGAGAAGGCGGAATTTTTTTTTTTTAATTGGGGAACAGTGTGTTTTTCCAGGACCCATCAGCTCCAAGTCAAGTAATTGTTTCAATCTAGTTGTGGAGGGCGCAACTCAGTGGCCCATGTGGGAATCGAACCAGCAACCTTGGTGTTGTGAGCACTGCGCTCTAACTGGGCTAACCCTCTGCCCCAGGAGCCAGAATATGAACCCAGAACTATGGCCTCTGAGCCACTGGTCTCAACCACTACACACACTGCAAAGGACGCTTGAGGATCTGATTGGGGTAGCAGGGGCTCTGTACAGGTGATGTCCTGCCCCCCTGGTCTCCAGCCCCACCTGGTTCTTGCTTTCCTCATCTTCCCACATCACAATCCCAATATCACGGTCCCACCATCATGGCATCCAATTTGTACAGAACTCCATTAAATCTGTGACGGAACACCAGCCAGCCCACTCAGATCCAGGCATGTAAATCACTGCCAAGGTCGCCTTTCTGGTAGTGCCGTCAGTTGAGCTGCATGTGTCTAAAATCATCAAGTTCTGCTTTTCTCATGCTCATCCCAAGTTTTACAGTAATTTTGCTAATGATAGAAAAGTGGCAGCTTTATTTTAAGGGACTGTTCTATCAAAGGGTATTCTTAAGTTGGATGAAACAGGTGCAAGCCTGTTTTCCCTTTTCTAGGGCTTGTGTCATAATCTTAACTGCGGATACAGAAATGTTTGTGTGAGCAAATCAACATGCTGATCTTCCTTGCCGTGATCTCAAGAGTCAAATAACTGATGATGTAAGGAAAATGAACCCACAGAGGTGAGGAAGGTGCAGGGACCCTCCCTCACCCCGGGGTCGGAAGACCCATTGCTACCCATTCTGTCTCTTTAGGTCAGTCCCCTCACAGGTACAAGGGGACCTCATGCTGTCCCCCAGTGCCTTCCAGAGCCAACATGCTGAGATTCTAACCTCCTTCAAACCTCCACTTCCTTGGAGGGGTGTGGAAATTATCCAGGCCTCATGTTCTGGGGCTTGCTGGGTGGGTGTGTGCCTAGTCCCAGAGAGGTGGGCTGTAGTCAAGAATGGAAAACTAGAAGCACACAGGCGCCATGCAGCCCCCGACACTGATGTTGCAGAATTACAATCCCCTCCCACTCCCTAAGAAAACTAGCTAACACTGGTATATCTACACCTAGATACTTTTTCTATGCATATACTACCGTATGTATGAATTTATTTTACTGAAATGTGATCAAACCATAAATTCTATTTTGCAACTTGTGTTTTCCACTTAATAATTTATTATAGCCATCTTCCCATGTCAGAACATATAGATCTACTTCATCGTTTTTAATGCCCAAGTAGTATTCTATTGATGGGTAAAGCATGATTTATTATTCAACATCCTCCTCCCCATCAGTTCCCAGATGAGCAAGTCACAGCCCAGAGAGACCAAAGCCATTTCACAAGGAGACAAAGAGGAGTGACCTCAAATCATCAGTCCAAGGATTTTGCTATAAGAATGAACACAGAAAGGTTGCCAAGTATGACATGGCCTCCCACAGCTGGCTTTAGACACCCCAACTCTCCACCCCCACACCTCCCACCCCCCCCAACACACTGGAAGGTTGGAGGCTGCTGTTCTGATGGCCAGAATACCCTTCAAGATGGGGCTTCACCCAGGTGACTGCCTTTGTCCTGGGCTCTGGAGGCTTGCCTTGAGGCCCCTCACAAGGACCTCAGAGCCAGGAGACCCCAGAAGCCAGTGCCCTGGGCTACCACCTGCTGTTGTCACACATAGTGGTCAATGCCTCATGCTAATGCCTTTTGGAGTAAAGCCACCATCATCCTGCCCCTCAAGCAATTTAACAAGAGAGACGGAGGGACCCTGCTCTCACTTTGCCAAGGGCAGTCCCTTAGAGAAAGAAGCCAGGACCTGAACCGTCCTTGGCAGAGGGAAAAGGAAAATGGGGGGCCTCACATGTTCCTCGTTAACAGCCTTCTGGAATAGACCCTTGGGTTCTGGGCTTCTTTGGGCATCAGGAAGCACCCAAGAGTCATTCTCGCATGCTTACCACTTACAGTAAGTGCACTGGTTCAGACCCAGGCTTGCAATTCCTGCTCTGTCACTTCCTGGCCGTGGGACCTTATACAAGTCTCCTCTCTTCTTGGTGCTCCAGTGCCCTCACCTATATGTACGGAGCTTCAATGAGCATTCAACACGATAATCCTCAGCCCAGTGACTGAAACATGGTTAGTCGTGTGACTGTTGTTGCCACTGCCCCAGAAAGCTGGCAAGGACCCAAGAGTAGTCGGTATACTGGCCACGCTGCTACCTGGAGTGGATGGGGTGGGGGATTCTAATGGAATCTTTCCCCACCAACTGGATGTCAACCCCTGGAATTTCCTCTGGAAGGAGATGCTGGAAGAAGCCTCTTCATTTACCCCAGATGCAAAACCTTGAAAAACAGTATTGTGTGTGTGTGTGTGTGTGTGTGTGTGTGTGTGTGTGTGTGTGTGTGTGCTGTGACATGGAAACAGCTGACAACTCTAAGCCAGCCCCAAACCCTGCTCCACATCACAGATGAAGAGATGAAACCCAAGACTAAGAGGGAGTTGCCCAAGGACACAGAGCCAGTAGTGGCAAAGCCCAGACTTTTCTATCAAAGGGTGGTTCTGTGGATGAGGAGAAAGCGGCTCAGAAACAGTAATGGGAAATGCAGGGGAATAGTATTTGATGTACAGAAATGCCATTTTCACAGGACTCTGCAAGGATTCACCGACTCCCAAGCCAGGCTGCCTATAATTAGCACCAAGTGGGATTCTGAGACCCCCCCACCACCACCACCTCTCAGAGGATCATCCCCCACCCCCCTCACTAAACTCAAGTGCAATCTGAAGCCAGGGCTGAGGTGTGGCTAGCGTGGCTGGGAGCAGGGCGAAGGACTGTTCAGGGTCAGAGTCAAATGTCCCAGGCTGCCTTTTCTGTAACCAGCACGGCTCAAATGAAAAGCAATTTAAGACATATGAAAGAATTAAGGCAGGAGATTTAGGTTTACGAGCTGTGCCGGGCACTTTCACATTTAATCTTTAGCACTTTCACATTTAATCTTCATTACAAGTCCAGAGGTAAATGTCATCGTCCTGATTTCACAGCTGTGGAAACCAGTTCAGAGACGTTAGGTAACTTGTGCAAAGTCACACAGCCAGTACATAGAGAGGTCAGAATTAGGAACCTACTACCTAAGAGCCAAAAATGCCAAGTCAGGCTTGCAGGGCTAAGAGCCAAGGAGCCTCAGAAATGCAGCCATGTGTGCTCAAGAGACCGGGCACAGCCTGGCTGACATTCCAGCAGAGGAAATGTGACCCAGACAGCACTGAGGAAGGGAGGGGAGGAGGGGTGTCTGTTGGCTCTGCCCCAGAGCTGGCTCTGTGACCTTGGGGAAACCACTTCACCTCTCTGAACCCCAGCTGCTGGACATGGGGAAGGAAAACAGGAAGATAACCCCTGACTGGCTGCTGAAGAAGGAAGTGAAGCAAACCCACTGTGCCCGTTAAAAGTCTTGGAGGCTGACTCAAAGGCTCTCCTGAACTCAGAGATGTGAGTGACCTGGGGATTGGGAAGCAGAAACCCCACACCTGTCCTCCCCCAGGTCCCAGGGAACCAGGCCTTCTACTTCCCTGTAAAGGAATCCAGGCCTGGCAGAGGGCGGCAAACAGCCAACCTTCAATCCAAGCCTGAGTAGACAGCCAAGGTCTGAGTCACTCCCTCCTGGCCCAGAGAGGTAGGCAAGCTGCCTTGGTGTTGTTCTCTTGACCTTGCCCAAAGTCATCCTAGTCAGTCTCAGGCAGGGCCAGGTAGGGTCCACATGGGGGATGTGAGAGAGAGCCCAGGAGGAGCCAGAGTCCTTGGTTCCTATTCTGACTGGGCCTAGGAGGCTGTGTGACTTGCGAGAAATTATGTCACTTCTCTGAATCTCAGCTTCCTTGTTTGTAAAAATAAAGATAATACTGACCTGGCAGGGGTGTTGTGATGAAACTTATAAGGGTGCCTGGAGCATAGTAAGCACCCAATGAGGCATAGGCCTTGGCCCTTCCTTTTCCTAGACTATGCTCACACCCTGAGCGATCTTATCCAGTCTCATGACTTTAAATACCATCTATATACTGAATACTGTGTCCCAAATTTCTCTCGCCCTGAGGTTTCTTGGGAACACACCCTTAAGCTCCACACTTGCATATCGGACCTGCTGCCTCCACTTGGAATGTCCAATACCAGCTCCAGCATAACAGGTCGTCTGCCTTCGTGATTTTCTTCCAACCCCAACCTACTTCTCCTGGCCTTCTCCATCTCTGCTGATGGCAATTTCATGTGGCTCAGATCAAACACTTGGGAGTCAGTCATCCTTGAGTGCTCACATTCTTACACCCCATCCCCAATAGCAGCAAATCCAGTCTTCCCTGTCTTCACAATGATTCCAGAATCGGGCCCCTCCTCGACACCTCCACTGCTACTATGCCTGCCTATCTCCCTGTCTCCCCCATGACTTCCCTACAGACTGCTCGTCATGGTGGTCACGTCACTCCTCTGCCCCAAACCCTTCAGTGGCTCCCCATGTCCCACATGGTCCTGCCTGCACCACGTCTATGACTTTGCCATCAAGCCACACGCACACACAGACACACACATACACAGACCC